CTAGAGATACTTGTGTTTTCTAAACACATGGCTTGGCCTAATCCAATCAGTATTGAAGTACTCTTGTCCGCTGGTTTAGCAACAAGCTTATAATCAGTAGGCCGTTGTGATTTACCCAGTTTGGCTGCTTCATTCTGGCCTGGCACGTGCAACACTTTCATGAATGTTCATTCAGTATTCACTTTTGCCTTTTTAAACAACAACTTAGTCATTTGGTGACAGATGTTAAGTGATTGATAAGAGCCATAGCAAGAACATTTTGTGGTGTTCTTGTGTCGTGGTGTATGAGTAACTGATAAAACCCGCTCAACAGTCATTTTAATGTGTAATGTTGGCTCACCCGTGCCCTGACTTAAGATAACCCAGCCGGGTGTGGTAGCAGTGCAGTGCTTGAATGATAATGTCATCGTATGTGTGTTTTGTTTGTTTGTTTTTAGCCACATCTCCCAATGCATCTTCAGAGTTGGAGCAAGCCAGACCTCAGACGAGTGGAGAAGAGGAGCTACAGTTGCAACTGGCCCTTGCCATGAGCCGAGAGGCCGCCGAGCAGGTACATCATGTCACTCAATGCAACCCTAAAATGCTGACACATCTACAGCTAATTATATGATTGATTATTGTGATGCTTAATGTACGTTTATGAGAAGGATTTTGGATCAATGAGTTCTAATGTTGGGCAGGGCTACCTAGAAGCACAGATGTACATTAAAGGATCAGCTCACTCCAGAATTAAAATTTCCTGATAATTTACTCACCCCCATGTCATCCACGATGTTCATGATTTTCTTTCTTCAGTCGAAAAGAAATTAAGTTTGAGGAAAACATTCCAGGATTTTTCTCCATCAAGTGGACTTCAACAGGGACCAAGGGGTTGAAGGGTCCAAATTGTGGTTTAAATGCAGCTTCAAAGGGCTCTACACGATCCCAGAGTCACAAGGGTCTTATCTAGTGAAATGATTGGTCATTTTCTTTAAAAAAAAAAAAAAAGATTTTATTCGCTTTAACCACACATGCTCCTGTTGAACTAGCTCTGCGATGTGCATTCATGACTTCACACATTACGTAATCATGCTGGAAAGGCCATGTTTTTTTCCTAGCGAAATACATTTCACGTATACATTCACGTCACGTGTGATCTTTCCAACTAGAGATGCACCGATTGCAATTTTCTTGGCCGATTCCGATTTCCGATTTTTTTGGAAGTGTGACCTGCCGATACTGATTTTTGCCGATTCCGATTTTCTTTCTAAAAACTATAATTGACAGCATATACAAACAAAAATCTATGCAAATTAAAAAAATGATTTACATAAAATTATTAAACATTACAATTTCCCCAATCTGGACTAAGTTACAGATTTTCTCTCACTTAAACAACTCTCAAAATAAAGTGCTCTGTGACTGGAAAGAGAAAGAAATAGTTAACTTAAAATGAGTTGCTGTATGTAACAAAACAGATGTCATTTCCCACTATGTTTATAAATGGTCACTGTTTTCCCCTAACCTTATTAAATGGGTCTTCTTTCACATCAAATTCTTACTTTGTTTCAATTAATTCAGTTAGAATAATAAGAAACTGTAGAGTTGTTACCATTCAAATGGAATTAGTATTAACAAACTCTATCTTTCCACTGCTGAGGAAACAGAAGCTGCATCTGAAGTGGCATTAGATGCATCTACACAGACTTTTTGATGAAGCTGAGGTGCCATAAATGTATTTACACTGCAAAATTTAAAATGCATAAATAATTTTATAAGATTAATGTTTTACATATTTTTCTAAACATAAAAATAAATGTTGAAAAAAATGCAATGATACTTTTAAATATGACTAAACACCAGTAGGTGGCGGAAAATGTCTGTTTTAATGAGTGAGTCATTTATTCATTCATTCAACCGATTCAATCAAATGGCTGATTTATTCAGAAACAAGGCATGTGACTGTCTTTACGAATGGGCCACTGAATCATTGACTCACTCGATTCGTTCAAAAACGTGGATTCATTCAGTAATGAAACACCACTGTGTGTTGCTCGGAAACACAAAACAGTTCTGCTGTGGCTTTGATCGGAACTATTTTCATCAGCAAAATTGAGCAAAAACAGTCAATATTTTGTCTAAAATCTAAGTCTCTTTATTTTAACTTGTTTATTGAAATACTATTGTATAAAATCAGTGTCACATTGCAATCGTGTCGATATTAATATTCGGGGAAACATCATGGCCGTTTAATGTTGCTTAAATCATATTTTGTAAATCTCTCTTTTTTTTTTTTTTCTACCGCAGTATGCATCTATACATTTCTGTGAGTTTCTTTGTGTGTGCTGTCTCTCTCACACACTCACTCGGGCTGTGCAAGCCTCATCTGGCACGACATAAATACATTATCAGTCACCATTTACCACTGTATATATATATATATATATATATATATATATATGTATATGTGTATGTATATATGTATATATATGTATGTATGTATATATATGTGTATATATATAAATGTATATATATTAGGGGTGCAACGGTTCTCGGTAAAGAATCGGACCATGCCGTTCTCCACACATGGTTCGGCAAACTCTAGGACCGCGGTTCAACTTAAATCTGACAATGCATCTGTAATATGGTTTGTTAGAGTTCGGCTAATGTATGTTTCTGTTGATGGATACAAATTCTGGCTTCCCAATACATTACAACAAGAGCAATGAGAGCAAAAAAAAACAATATGTGGACAAACAAGGAACTCTTTAATCAATGCGAGTGCTTTATGCTGGAATAACTGTCATTTATGCCGTCATCACATGTTGATAGTGCAGGTGAGACCTGAACAGCACACATGGCTATCTGTGTTTAAACTAAACTCATTTAAGCCTTGCCAGTTTAAATATTAAAGAGCTAGAAGACGTGAACTCACGCACGCAGTGAGAAGATCTGTGTGGTCGCTCATCCGAACCGCATGAACCCACGTCTCAGAATGTGCGCAAATATTAAGCTCTCTGTTAAGTACTGTGTTTGAATGGACAAATTCATACAAAAATTGTCAAAATGCCCATCTTGGTGAG